AAAAAGAACAGCTGCTCAGTACCAGTAAACTCGGGACAGTGAAAGCACTGCCATTCTCCAAAAGAGTGACATTGAATTTGTTTCCGGCATCGGTGGTTACAAATTTCTTCGATTTATAACACTGTAACGTATAACCTGGAGTAGTCCCGTGCTGTTGGTGCCACCTCGGTGCACTGCTCTCCCTTCAGAACCTACCTTCAATTCCAGCTCCAGGCATATTGTCGCATGGGAGATGAATAGCAGACGAACCGAGAAGTGCCGAATCAGTGATGAGCGCAAGCCGCAATTTTCTACGTATAACTACGTATACGTAACGACTACGCATTTCTACGTATAACATTTTTTTTCACCGACTCCTTTCGGGCGCTTTATCACTTTTGTAACATGATACATTGCTTACCAAATGAATTTGATTATTTCAAAAACAGAGGCGTATGCAAAATTCCACAACGGGAGGGGAAGGGAAGGAGAAGGCACAAAGTAAACAAAACTCGCTAAAAGCCGAGTTTAGCGTGCTTCAGGCACGCACAAATTTTTTGAGTGTCGTAAGGCAAGGTCGCATGTCCTCGAGCCTCTTATTTTATGTGTTTTGGAATATTGAACCGCCAACACTAAGCGCCTACGTATAACACGTGCCGCACATTTGGAAGAGGAGGGGGGGGGGGGGACACGTGCACCCGGGGGCTACTGTGTGCGCCCGTCCTTGTTTGTCGAAGCATCGTCATGGAGAATTCAACGCCACTGATCTGCTTACCGACCGTGTCTGCCTTCAGCGACTTCAATTGAACTCCCTATGGAAAGCTCCCGTACAACATTTATTCTGTGTTGGAGTTCCAATTACCATCATTTGAGGGTTTCGAACGCATCGATTATTCAGAAGAGCACACCCACCACAATTTGGGTTTCATCGGCGATTAAGTCGGCACAGAAAAGGAAAGGTACAGCCGCCATCTACCCAAGCGAGACGCTGCGTACGCGTAATCAAGAGGACCAACGCTTCCGAGATGAGAAAAAGCGCTGGTGAAAGGAGGTGAGAGTGAGCAATCCCTTGCGCAGTGTATTACAAGGAGCGCTCACGACGAATGATTCAACCGAAGACCATAGGGAAAAGCAGGCGAGCTTTACGTCATCAAAAGAAACTATCCGCTTGACCCTGGGTCTGGTCACACACGTCACGCACCAATCAGAATGTACGGCACGTGTCATTCTGGATGGGAGGGTGTGCACGTTATAAGTGTGAACATACCCATATAAAAAAATCTGCATAGCCTGGCCGTTATTAATTTTTTAAAGCTACCATTGTTCCTTGGTCCAATTGTGCGGGACAATTATGGTGGGCTTAAGGCAATTCGGGGACACATTTAATTTACAAGTGGTACATGGTGGAAATAGCCGAACGCCTCCGCGCCATGCAGTGCGCTCAGAAACATGTTGTTAACGCTACAACTATCAGAAGGAGGGCAGTATGCAATGTCACCACTTTTTTATTTCTGGTCCGCAGAAATAACAGGATTTTTTCTTTCTCACCCGTCTTCTATCACATTTATATGGCGAGTCACAAACGACTCACCGGCCGTGAACGAGCAAACAGCCGCATATTTTTGGGACTAAGTGCAGCGTCCTGCGATTAAGTGTGTCTTTGGACTGTTGTGCATTCACAACGGAAAGGATGGACCGATACCATTGGTACAACGAATCGGACATATGGATATATATATATATATATATATATATATATAACACAGCAATGCGTCTGCTGTCTACGAAATATTTCCTTCATTTCGTTTCGTGAGCATCAACGCTGCTGCGCAAAGGATGTGAAGCTTACGAGCCAGGCAGCGATCTTCAAGAGCGATTCATTTCAGGCTTTGTCTTAAGATGTATTGTCCGAACGGCCTGAACTGGAGCTGCACAGAGGCTGTTGGTCTTGAGAGGTAAGGTCGGAACGGTCTGGTCTGGACGAGAGCTAAACAAAAGCTATCGAAACGCTTGGGACCTGGAGCCGTCGAACGCTCAGCGTCATATCCTGTTATTGACGACGATATGTTCAATGAAATGAAATAATTATACTTGCGTTAACTGACGATGCAGCCAGCCGCCATGGACATTGTCGTCAGAATTGCTGACGCCAACGGTACACAGAGGGGCGGGCGATCCGTCGGGCAGTTACTAAACTCTGTTGGTGGAACGGATTTCTCTTGATTTACCGAGAAAGCCAAACACTCATACGTCCCGTCACGGGCCCCTTGGGAATCCGGGCGGAGCTTTCCCATGATCTCTGAGCATACCATGGCGTCCCCACAGAGAAAGTGACCAGCGACGGGGCTGTGCCGGCGCGCTGGGCGGCAGTGGCCCATGGCGGGCGGGCGGCCGCACCCAACAGCGGGCCCATCGCCAGCCACAGAGCGGCACGACCCCGCCCCACACACGAGCAAACAGCACGCTTCCGGGAGAAATTCGCACCGTGGCCGTCCCGGCCCGGCCGAAGCGGGCGGGATGCGGCGGAGAACGACACTCGCCGGCTGTCGGTGGAGCCACGAGCTGGGCGGTGCCGACGCTGAACGTGACGGGTGCCACCGGCTGGGCTGGGCTTCTGATGACTGTCGGTTTACGGACCAGGGCGAGGTCGTGCAGTGGTGCGAGGACAGCGTGGTGCTGTGAGCCGCCGAGCTCGAAAGTATCGTCTGGGGACGTGAGTCTGCCCTATATGACGCCGAAATTAAAAAGACTGACGTGGTTACATGGCGATGGCTTTCAACAATGCCACTCCGTCGCCTGTCCGGCGACACAGGTGTTACGATCGTGGATAGTGCCGAGCTGAAGATTCGTCTATTTCTGCAGAAGTTCAATGGGAGTCCAAAAGTCGACAATACAATGAACGTCAAACCAACATCCTCGGTGTCATGGCACGAACGTTGAACCATAATGTGAATGATGGCATGAGTAGTGCAATTAAGAAAGTAGGCATCTGCAATGAGGTGACTGGTAGGCAAGCAGCTACAACTACGGCAGGTCATGGAAGAAGCATGAACCGGTGAAAATCAAACAGTGCTCGAGGCGTACACTTCAGGCCCTTTTGGATTACTGTTACAATCCACGCAAGACATCGTAACATTTATGACCATAGCAGACCCGTGCGTCGTAAAACAGTCGAAGGGGATTTACTTCGCAGAATTATCAAGCCTGTCACTGTTACGAAAGCAGCCGTAATCCTGTGTTAACGCGGGAGTAGTCAAGCTTTAGCAGTCCATGTCACACCTATCGGCATCCAAGCATGGACAACAGGGAACCAGGAATCATTCCCGTCAGACCAGTTTTTCAGCACTTAAACCAACGCATACAGAAATAGAGCCAGGGAGATTGCAGCTGTTCGCGCTCGAGATCACGGCTTGAGCGGCGAAGACAACGTCTTTGCGCGTTTGCGGGTGGACGCCGCCAGAATCCGTCTAACGCGATGTACATGGAAGTGATACAAGAACGGTAACGATTATAGCACAAAACAAAGCCTTCAACCCTGCCTATGATCATGACAGATGCTGCAAATACGCTTATCACGCCAGCTATGCACCATTCAGATAACTTCTTCCGCATGACACGCGTTCCTCGCCGCCTCCACCCCGCCGCCCCGTCGGCCCAGCGTCGGTCGCCATCCCAACCTGAGCCCAGCGCCGGCCTCCGCCCCGACCTGAGCCCAGCGCCGGCCGCCGCCCCAGCCTCAGCCCAGCGCCGGCCGCCGCCCCAGCCTCAGCCCAGCTCCGGCCTCCGCCCTCGCAGCACGGCCGGCCGCCGTCTGAGCCGCGTCTGCCGCGGCTGCGGCTGCCGGCTGGGGTGGGAGCCGCCCGGCTGCGGCCGGCGGCTCTCACGGCACCCCTGGGAACGCGCCGCGGCTCCTCACGCTCCGCGCGGGTCAACGCCTGGCCGGCGCCGCCTGCGACGTGTTGATCGGCCGCCAGGCATCTTGCTAACGGTGCGGGTTGGCGGGAGGCGCCGAGACCCGCCGAACGAGCTGGGCGCGGCCACCGCCGCCTGTTCGGGGACTGCTGTCAGCGCCGACGGCCGGCAGGGCGGCGCGGTAATGTGCGCGGCGCCCCGTTTCATTGTGTTAAGGTCGCGTGGTCGGTGGGGGGGGGGGGGGGGGGAACGTTGCCGCACTGTGAAAACGGGGCGCTCTTTGAGGCGGAAGCGATCGAAGCACTATCGGCTTATCGCCAGAGGCGTGCGGCCATTTGTGCGCAGTTGGGACGGGCTGGGAAAATTTCACGCATGGATGGTGCTCCACCTGGTATTTTGTAGCTCTGCCACTCTTTCAGAATGGACAATCCTGTAAAGCGTTTTGTACTATATTGTACTTTTCTATGCTCGATGTTTTCACTTGATCACCGATGTGGAACGTGCACGGACAATGTCATTCACACTGTAATGCAACGAAGTCTCGTTAATGTCCGTAAACCGTGCGAATGAGTGCGTGGGTGCATCAGATGCAACATCAAACCTGCATGTATTGTAAGGTATCTCATCGGCAGCCTGCTGTCCTGCAGATTGCATTTCTCATTCGCACGTCGGAAGCAACTGGCACAGGGCGCTCGACGTGTCAACCTCGGCGATTTCTCCAAGCAAGCGGAGCTCAGACGTACACAAACCAGCAGACTGGGCCGTCACACGCTGTTTCGCAGCTGCACGGCGGCTGCACCAATAAGGTCACGAGTGACCCCAATCGCACCGCACGCAAGTGGAACGTCCACCACCCGGCGCGGCGTGACGCAGAAATCGCGACCGAACCGCGTATGTCCTTTGTCCACCTTCTCCAAGTCACGCAGTAGGCACTGACATCCAAAGATTTGTAACGCGCAACACTGAGCGTCGTCACCTTAAACAGTCGTCCTGGCGGAACACGGGAAGAAGGAAGTGGCGGTTAGCCTGTGACCCACTGCTCGTTTCCGGGGAGAGGGCCGGACTGGCGGCCTTTGAGCCGTGTCCCCGGCAGGTGTCAGCCGACTCACCTCTCTCTGTCCGATCGAGTGCAGGGTATCCGGTCCGATGAGCCGCGCAGCCGGCGCACACTCGCGGGCAGCGCCAGACAGCGAATGGCAGGAGAGCTGGCGGCGCGCGGCGCGGCCGGGGCCGGCGCGCTGAGGCGTGACCGAGCCGACAGCGGGGCACGGGGAACAGGGACAGAGAGCCGGGCACGAGGAACAGGGAAAGAGAGCCGGGCACGGGGAACAGGGACAGAGAGCCAGGCATGAGGAACAGGGACAGAGAACCGGGCACGGGGAACAGGGACAGATAGCCGGGCACGAGGAACAGGGACAGAGAGCCCGGCACAAGCAACAGGGATAGAGAGCCGGGCACAAGCAACAGGGACAGAGAGCCGGGTGCGAGGAACAGGGACAGAGAGCCGGGCACGGGGAACAGGGACAGAGAGTCGGGCACGAGGAACAGGGAAAGAGAGCCGGGCACGAGGAACAGGGGCAGAGAGCCGGACACGAGGAACAGGGACAGAGAGACGGGCATGAGGAACAGGGACAGGGAACCAGGCACGAAGAACAAGGAAAGAGAGCGGGGCACGGGGAACAGGGACAGAGAGCCGGACACGGGGAACGGGGACAGAGAGCTGGGCACGAGGAACAGGGACAGGGGGCCGGGCACGAGGAACAGGGACAGATAGCCGGGCACAAGCAACAGGGACAGAGAGCCGGGCACGAGGAACAAGGAAAGAGAGCGGGGCACGGGGAACAGGGACAGAGAGCCGGACACGGGGAACGGGGACAGAGAGCGGGATACGAGGAACAGGGACAGAGAACGGGACACAAGGAACAGAGAGGACAGAGGGGTACAAGAGAGCGGTACAGGAGAAAGGAAGGCAGAAAGGGGCACGCAGAAAGGGACAGAGCTAGACACGAAGTACAAAGAGACGGATAGGAGGATGACAAGGAACGGATACGAAGAGTGCGACATACAGACCGAAAATTGAAAGCGAGGAACAAGGAACAGAGACAGGGGGCCGGGTACTACAAACAGGACAGAACCGGACAGGATGCACGAGAAAGGGGAGCGGGCTCGAAGAACCGCGACAGGGAGATGTGCGCGAGAAGCGGAGGTGGAGCGGGGCTCGAAGAACCGCGACAGAGAGATGTGCGCGAGAAGCGGAGGTGGAGAGGGGCTCGAAGAACCGCGACAGGGAGATGTGCGCGAGAAGCGGAGGTGGAGCGGGGCTCGAAGAACCGCGACAGGGAGATGTGCGCGAGAAGCGGAGGTGGAGCGGCGCACGAAGAACAGCGACCGGGGGTGGAGCACAGAGAGCAGCTAAGGAGAGAATGTCATGAGGTACAGCACAGCTGGCGTGGCACGAGGAAGGGGGACAGATAGCAGGGCACGAGGAACGTGAAGTCGACTCGCGAACAGCTGCAAACAGTGACGACGTGGGCTGGGACAACCGTGACCGAGAGGCGAACAAGGAAAACTTCAGACTTCGTCAAGGACTGCTCGTTCTCGTGCTGTGACCGTCCCAGCCAGCAAGGTGGTCTGGCCGCGGTTGAACCTGGCTGGGTTTAGGTCGGTTTCAGTCTGGAAGAATCCGAGTCCATTTTTATATCAAGTGCATGACGTGGTTAGGATTTGTTTTACAAATCCAAACTTGTCATTCTCGCGTCCGTGGCATGCTTGTATAAAACCGAGTAGACACATGGTGGACTCGACATAAGCAGACACAAGTTGAGGTGTGCTTGGGCCTTGTTACGCAAAGATGACTTTGGATTTGTTTTTGCTCGCCCAAGGAAAGACCAAGCAGTGGCAGGTGACAGTAGAGGTAAGGATTTTGCGCCCAGCTGATTCAAACCCAGCCTCCTTTCGATAACTACAAGGCTTTTAAAGATTCAGCGGGCAGTATTCTCCGGGTACTATGTGTTTCATTACACCAAGTAAAACCTTAACTTTGTCCTTTTCACCTAATAAAACAACAGGTAACCAGCATCCCGTTAGCGCATCCCATGTTGAAAAGTGTGCACCGTCAGTGCAGTCTCCTCACCAGTGTGGAAGTCAAATACTTGTGCCGAGTTGGAGTTATTTATTGCTTGACTGCGGGAAGGTGAGGAAAGCGAGTAAGATGCATTTGGCTGACAGGAACGAGGTCTAAATTGCTGGCTGTGACGGACGTTGCCTTTATTGAAGGCATAGAGCATCACGTAAAATTGCAAGAAGCAGAACAGCAAGTCACAGCGGATGCATCCCCAGGTGCAAGCGGTTTTTCCCATCGTTCATCACTCTCATTCATCCCAAAACTATGATATGGTCATTACTGGCTGCAATTGCTCTTCCAAACAAAACTAAAACATCCGAGATTGAATATCAGCGTTGTGTTCGTTTCCTTGATCCGGAAGCAAGCTGGCAAAGTTCTGTGGGGAATTTGAGGGGACAGCCGTGTGCGAAACTTCTGCACATTAATCCGACATTTTTCCGTTGACGTTTCTTGCGACGCACGATATGGGGGCTGGACCCTGCGTTAACGAACAGTTCTCAGATGTGATTGATACTACGGTATGGCGTTCCTAAAGGAGGAAGTCACATTCGGGTGAAAGGCAGTGACCAATGGACAAATTAGAGCGTAAATTGCAATTGGATGTCAAGAAACATCATTTAAACCTATGCTTGTCATTTTTTCGTTCATCTCAAAAGTATCGCTATCAGCAATTATCCAACCACAGCAAGGGTGGCAACACGTCTCAGCCGACTCCCCTCCCTCTCTCACCCCCACCGCCGCCCCACCTCTCCTCAAATCGCTTCACCACGCCCAAATCGGCCGACAGCAGTCGCCCTACCGACAGGCTGCCCGCGCGACCTCTCGTCTGTGCTCCTCGCGGCCACATATCCCGCCACCTGGTGCCCAGAATGTCAATTAGCCTAGCCCATTAGACGGCTGCCCACTCGCCGGCTGCTTTTCGCAGATGGCACGATTTGGCGGCCGTGGGTACTAAACCCACGGGATGACCACGGAACCTGCGGACACTAAACCCACGGGATGTCCACGGAACCCGCGGGAGTTAAACTCACTTTGTGCGTGAATGTCACTGGTTCAACATAGATTAGGTAAAATAGGTGCCGTAAGCAGGACTCTGCTTAAAATTTTGTGAGGTTGTTTGTATGAACTACGGAAGATAGTGTTAATATTCTTATATCTGCATACAGCTATAACCTTTAGCCACATAGGTATGCAATGGTAAAGGTTTGAAGAGCACGTTTGTTTTTACGTCAAGGACTTCTGAATGAACCCTTTTCAAATGACGCAATTTGCCCTGCCCTAGGGCAAATTGTATTACGGGGTGGAAAGAGTTTTTTTTTTGTTACGTGAAGTAGACTTCACCGTAGGTATACTGATTACATTTCGATTTGTACACAAAATACGCTTGTACATAATTTTCCGCAATTTATTCATTGTGATTGCGGCATGGAACAATTTCTGCCCGTTTTAATCAGTCAGCGTTTGTTTCACAACTGTTGTCAGCTCGGTGCTAGCTGCTCCGGTAGGAATTATGAGCATATATACGCAGTGTAAATGTCGACTTATTGTCTCGATGACAATGAGCCATGTACAACAATTATGTCGGTCAAACAGTGAGAGCCAATCAGTTAATTACATAACTATCGGCAAATTGCAGCACCAATGCAACATGCCCCATGCATAGCCAATACAATTTGTACCACCCGACATCTTGGAAAAATGTTCGCGCCACCCCGCAATCCTTGGTTCGCAAACGCCAACTTTTTCACCATATGCGGCGCATGTTCTTTCCCAACGATCGGCATGACATTTAAATTAGTTTCGTTATAACGTGAAGCCTTAAACATACGTTTCCACAGGTCTCTATCGCTTTAAACGAGATGCGGAAACATATTTACGACGTTCACACCAACACCCGTTCACGTACACTGCCAGAAGTGTACCAAAATGCAGAGGGCGCTGCTTTGCGCCAGCTGAGTAAAGCCAGGCTGTTATGCGTCGCAAAGATTTAGGGTAAATGGCACTGATGCTTATTAACATGACACCGCACAGCCAACTCTTCCCATATATACTAAAAGTCGTGTCCTCGCGTCAGGCTGGTAAACATATCGACTGCGTCTCTCACTCGCAAAGTATGGAGATGGTCACTTTGAGATCCAAGTAGGCGCGAATATTTAGAGCCCACTTTCGTCCTGGTGCTTGGAAGGCAGCGTTCCTTTTCAACAGGCACCTCGTTAACATAGGTTAGAGCAATAGCACTTTAAAACCTAATGCCGCTTACTGACGTCTCGTGCAATCCTTTGCAGAGCCTTTGCTGCACTCACTTGAGACCAAAATAATCGTGCACCTTCTTTACGACGTACCAAGAGGCCCTCCAGCACTAGATCACGAGTAAACACTGTGACTGACATGCCTCCTTTCTTTTATTCACCGGTTGTTTCAAGTAATACAGGTAAGGAAGACCGGGTCTGTGACGCACGTGCACTGTTCTTCGCCCGGTGATCGTCGCATCCGGAACCCTGAAATGGGTCAACAAAAAATCCTGCCAGGGTTCAAAGACCACTTAAAATGCAGACACAAACAAAAATCAGCGTCTTCCCATGTAAAGTTGACCAGGAAAATGAAAGCCATCAAAACTGTAATGGGGAGGCCCGGTTACCCGAATTTGAGCAATTAGGACCCCTTTACATTGTCGCGAGGTAAAGTCGTCGATGTGCCTTGGTTTGCCTGATGATTAGCACCTTCGCGATGGCCTCCGGCCCCACCCTTGGTCAGTCTGGTCTGCCGGCCAGCAGCCGGGCGGTCTCGGGGCCGCCGCGGTTACTGTCGCCACACGCGCGTCACTGGCCCCGGACCGAACCCCGCGGCTGTCGACAGAACCGCGTCACCGGCCCCCGCTCCCGAACCCCGCGGTTGTCGACAGGGCCGCGTCACTGGCCCCGGCCCGAACCCCGCGGCTGTCGGCAGGGCCTCGTCACTGGCCCCGGCCCGAACCCCGCGGCTGTCGACGGGGCCGCGTCACCGGCCCCGGCCCGAACCCCGCGGCTGTCGACGGGGCCGCGTCATCGTGCGAACGTGA